AACTGTGACAGGGGCTGTGCTCCCAGAGGTGGCTGGTTCCTGCCGGTGGTGGGAGAGCTCGGCACAGGGTGGGGTGAAGGGAAAGGTGGTGACACTGGTGGCTGTTCAGGGTCCGAGGAAGTTTAGCAGCTGACTGATGCTTTGCCTGTGCAACCCCATGGTGCTGGATCTGTCACCTGCTTCCTGAGCGAGCACCTCTTGCTTCATCCCTCCTGGTTGCATCACAAGGTTTCAGTTTCCTCAAATCCCAGGGTAGGATTCGGGGTTTTTGCAACAATTCCCAGGCCAAGACCAGGTTTGTCTGGGTTGGGAAGTGCTCTCCAGGGCTGCCTCAGCAGCGCCCTGCCCTGCCCTGCCCTGCCCTGCCCTGCCCTGCCCTGCCCTGTGAGCACCAGGCAGCACCCAGCCCCACTCCCAGGGCCCCTCTCCACTTCCTTTTGTTCCTCTGGATTTCCTAATCCTTGGGTTTTTAGACTGTGTGGGTTGATAGGGATTTTTTGGCGAGGGAAGTGGAAAGCTGATGCAAGGTTTAAGAAGGTCACAGGGAGGCTGTGCTGTCCATGTCTCACCCACCTGTCTCCACTCTGCCTGGTGCTGCTGGGGGTCCTGCCTAGGTGTCTTCATCCTGTCTGTCCATCATGGGCATCACCCAGCTGCCATGCCAGTCCCCACACTGGCATCCCCAGCATCCCACATCAACCTTTTCCCATGGGTGGGGGTGACAAGCTGGAGGTCGGAGTGGCCCCAGAGACTGGGGTCCTGTCCAGGAGCTGAGCAAGAGCAGGGTGGGTGCTGGGGGTTTGGAGCAGGGTCCTGTTGAGAGGTTTGCTTTGGTGGCACCGCAGACCTCGATCTCTGCACAAAGCTGCATCTGTTAGACTTCAACTGTGGAGCAGACGAACCCTGTTTCCATGTAAGAAGGAGAGTGTGGGCTGGTTTGGTTTAAGAGCATTCCCCACCAGCTCCGGCAGCACCGCCTGAGGTCTGGTTTCAATCAGACCACCAATGTCTGCCCCTGACTTTGCCCTGCACAAGCAGCCTGCGTTTCGCTTCCCCAGAGCTGCCCAGGGGAAGCACCAGCTCCCTGTGCTGTCACCTCCCCGGCCCAGCTCTTTCCAGCCATGTTGAGGACATGGCACTGGGGGAATCCCAGTCTCTCGATAGCACTGCTCTTTACCAGTAAATTAGTGACTGAGCATGCCAACGATGCAGATGATGGGTGCCACTACATCCCACGTGGGCTTGCCACTCCCACTTGATGGAGATGCAGGAGGCAATGCAACTCCAGCTGGATCTCGGGGGGGGCTTTTAGCCCCTTTTAGCCCCCTGGCATGTTTTCTGAAGCAGCATGGCCAACGGCTCAGGCTACAGGTGCTGCCAGCACAAAGCTGGAGCACGGGATTGTGCACGGGTCTCCTGGGATCAGAGAAGCCGAGGGAAGGAAACCTGCAATAAGTACAGAGCATTTATACAGGCTTTAGGCTAAATCCTTCCCTCCCTGGGTAGCAGCCACTGCAAAGCCGTTTCCTAAAGTCCTGTTATTCCTTTTCAGGGGAGGACTTTGCAGTTGGCAGCAGAGCTGGATTAGGAACACAGAGAAAGAGGTATTGCAATTTGGAGCAATGCTAGGTGGCCAGGCTGGCAACCAGGGGCTTCATTTCAGCAACGACAGGTCCAGCATCGCCAGGGCGGCTCCGGGAGGAGAACAAAGGAGGAGATCCCAACCTGGCATGCACACGTGTCCTGCAATAGCCCTCGGCCATGTTGGTGGGAGCAAAAATGATGATGAGCCCTATCAGTGTCTTCCACCTCCCCTCCTGCTCAGAGGGAAATGGGGCAGAGTCAGGGCTGCTCTTCTGGATGCCTTGGGCTGTATGATGCTGGTGTCTTCAGCCTAATTTCACTTAAAATACCTGTTTTCTGGCCAGGTTGGTGTCTTGAGGGTCTGGAGAAGGAGTCCTCACTGGCCTCCCAGCATCACACCAGCACCAAGGGCTAGGGGCAACTCCATCCCAAAGCACTTCCAGGGGGAGCTCGTGGGGTCTCTTCCCAGGACCACCCCAACTGATGGTGTTTGCTGAAGGTCCCAAGGAGCTGCTTTCCAGGGGACACAAGAAGTCACCTGCTTTTCTCCAGGAACTGAATAGCCAGGCTGACCCCACGCACAAGGGAAGGTGAGCTTACACCCGAGGGTCTGGATTTGGGGTTTCCACCTTCACCCCAGAGGCAGTGGGGGAGTCAAGGAGGGGATCTGCCATCATCCACATCCCACATGCCGTGGAGCTGAAGTCTCAGGTTTTTTTGCCTTCACCTCCCACTCGAAAATCAGGAGCCAAGTACATTTCTTATTGCACCCAGCGCAGAAGGAGGAGGAGAGGCGATGTGGGAGGGCACGGAGGGAGTGGGAGAAGCCGTCGGCAGGCCGGTATGGACCCCATCACAAGCAGAGGCTCGGAGGGCCTTGAAACCCATCCTCACTCCATGCAGCCATGTGATGGAAGGTGGTACAATCGGCACTTGGTCTCTCCCTGCTGTGCAGAGGCTGCAGGAGGAGTAGGCTCAGGCTCGGCAGGGACGGGGCCCTGCTGGCACTGCAGTGCCACCCCATCATGGGGACAGGTCCATGGGAAGGAGGTGGAAAGCAGGAGGGCTGTGATGCTCAGCTGGAGACGAGAGAAGGCTCAGGGTGTTGAAATGGATTGGGATCTGAGAGAGATGGAGTGATTCTGGAAGAAGTCACCTCCTAACCCCAAGCCCTCGAGAGCAACAGTCGTGGGAAACCATGGAAACGTGCGGCTGGCACGTGACAGCGTGTGCCTGCGCTCCTGCCTCTGATTTATGTCCCACATCTGGGATGAGATGCAGAAGTTCAGGGCTGCTGGAGTTTGTCTGGGATTTTGAGGCAGTCGCTTTACTCAGTGTCTCCTATTTGCAGAGCGGAGTTGGGATGTGGGAATGGGGGCTGGGCTCCTGCCAGGGCCAGAGGTGATGTCTCCAAAGAGGGAGACAGAAACCTTGAAAAGGCTGGGGGGCTTCTCACTTACTTTTCTAATATTTTCTAATAGTCTAATATTTCCAAATGGAGACTCTTGAGCCAAGACCCTTCGACTCCCTGTGCTGCCAGGCTCACCACGTCACTGGGTACCAGGCTGTGAGCCCAGGGCTGACTTAAGGCACAAGGTACAAAAACTTTGAAAAGTCCTTTTCTTTAAACACACAGCAAATAATAGCTTAACCAACGCTCCACCTGGATTATTGCCTGAGCGTTCGTGTTGGTGAGAATTTGAGGATTTTACCCTTTTTGAAGGCGCTAGCACTACATTGCAGTTTTGCTCTTGTTTTAAGCTGGGTCTAAGCGCAGCACCTCTTCCCCTGCAGGTTTAAGGCAGGGCAATCAGCTTGGCCATACCCTCCTGGCTCCAAGGGCTTTTTCTGCTGTTTGGTGGCCACCTGGGGACACCGTAGTTAGTATTTGAGCTCAGGCTCTTGGGTGCCAATCCCAGTGGCTAATGGACAGGGAGTAAATCCAAAGTTGAAGCTGACTGGTGAAGATGCGACGATTTGGAAGCCGGTGGTGGTGTTATTGAGGACCTGAGTAGGGTTGGCCGTGCTGCTGTGTTTGCACACTGGTGGGTACAGCAGCTACCAGGTAAGCTCAGCTTTGCGTCGCCAAACTGAGGGATTCACAGATGCGTGGGGCTCCTGGTCTGTCCCCACACAAAGCCAATGGGGAACCCAGAGTGGGGGACCAATAGGCAGCATCTTCTCCGCCAGCTCTCCTTAGATCTGCAAGAGCAATTTTGCTGACACTGCCAGTTTGGCTGCTGTGAACCAAGAACGGTTTTGAGGAGAAATAACAGCTTTTATTTTGCCTTGACAGAGCTGCAATAACAAAGCTCCAGCCCCCAGAGGGGCACAGCCACCCCCAGCCCCTGCCTGCCCAGGTGTCAGAGCTGCCCCCTCAGCCTGTCTGTCCGACTGTCTGTCTGTCTGCCCTGCCAGGGTGCGGGAGGCGGCTGTGCACACCAGGCTGCTTCTCTTGTCTCTGATCCCCCTCTGGGGGATTGTCGGTTATTACAAGGCTCTGTAGTATTTTCCTTGTCTCTAAACCATGCTGCGGGTTTAATATGCTGAATTTCTGGGAGCTGGAAATGGCATTTGGGTAAAACAGAAAACCAGCCCAAAAGCACACACAAAGGCAGCAGGAAGCCTGGTGTGGAGGAGTCCCCGCGCTCCTCGTCCCTGCCAAAACAGCACCAGGAGCAATGCGATCGCAGAACAACAATAATATCTCAATTTCACCAGTGCCTTTAACTCTGGATCCCTTTGGAACTGGGTCCTGCCGTGAGAAGAGCAAATTCTTGTCAGTAAAAAAAGCCCCCGTGGGACAGACCGCAGGGGAGAGCCAGGGCAGAGCCCACCACAGCCAGAGCTTGGGACAACTGTAACTCTGCACTTTGGATTCCCAATTTCCTCTGAGCTGTTTACAAGGGCTGAAAAAAAAAACCTTGCAGTCCTAACCGCCCCCCCCCCCAGCCCCGTCCTGATGTTGCCCAGAACATCTCCCTCATCCCTCCCTTTCGGAGAGGAAAAAAAAAGGGCAGGAGGGAGGAGTGGGAGAGAGGAGGAGGGAGGCAGAAAGTGAGCTCACATTCACACATTGGTAAAGAGGCTGGGTCTTGCAATGCCTTTGAATATTTTACTTTTAGGCAGTTCCCAATCAGTCAGCCACACACATCCGAGGCGAGCTGAAGCTCACTCCAGCCATGGACAGCAGTAGGAGATCTGAAATCTAACTGCATGCATCATTCCTCCGGGATATTTTTTTAAATTACATATATAAACACGTCGACAGACAGCCGCGCTCACACGCACACATATACATCCACACGTCGGCAGAGCCGCCAGCACCCGCACGGCCGCTGAGCAAACACCTTGTCTGTGCTCGCAGGATATACCCGCTCACACACGGCTCTCTTCATCTCCTCCTGGCTTCCCGGAGGATCGTGCCGGCTGTTTTTCATGGAGAAAGTCCAGGGAGAAATGGAGATTGAGAGATGGGAAAGAAGTGAAGAGATTTCAGATGCAGAAAAAAAGGTTATTCAAGAGACATGGAGCAGAGTATATGCAAACTGCGAGGACGTTGGGGTCTCCATACTCATCAGGTATTTAAAAAAAACAGGAAAAAAAAAGGAAGCAGCAAATCCAACTAAATCTCTTTATAGCTGAGAAAGAGGCAGAACAATATATATAACTGAACTGGAATGAATGACAGCGAGTGGGGAGCTGGCTGGGTGCATTTGCTGGCGGGGAGCAGGCAGGGTTTCACAGCACTCCTCTGATTTCCACACCTTTGAGCCGGGTGGCGGCGGTGGGGGGAGCGGGGGGAGCTTCGCCGGGGACTTTGGGGGAAGCTGCTTCCATCGCAAAGGTCACCTTAGCCCACGGACGGAGCTGGGGGGGTGGCGGAGGCAGGGGGGTGAGCGGTGCCATGCTTGGGTGTGTTGGGGGTATATATTTTTTTACCCCTCCCCAGTTAGCTGCGTGCGAATGGCATTGGTACATAGCAGGCTGGCGGGGGAAATAATGCAAGTTGGGAGCCAAGATAAAACCCAAAGGGCACCATCTGTCCCTCCGGCGACAGCGTCGGCGGGAAGGAGAGCACTGAAGTTGGCGGTGGAAAAGGGGTGCAGAGGGGCACAGGCAGGAGGAGGGGAGCACCGGGGACGGCAGGCACCCAGCCACCCCGGGAGGGGGGTGCGCAGCATCGCCCAATGTCGGGGGGC